AGGATCAAAATTATATCGGTCAGTAAAAATCGAAAAATCGCATCGCGTTGTCGAATCGCGTCCGGTGTGTCTGTACCTTAAGACAAAATTTATTATAGTTTAAATCGACCTTTACGGAGATATTAGATTCAAATGCGCAATACATACAAAACAGATGAATATAAATTTATTTGAATTATATAAAATGTAGAAATACGTTTTATGTTCCACTATTTATAATACATCTTGGGCTGGTTGTTTAAAAGCTAGTTAGCTAAACCCTGGGTTAACCTAAAATTCAGCTTGTTTATAAATTTGGAAATATTTTTTCACAAATCTTGTCTGGATTATCAGAGGTTTAATTTTCTAAAGACGTACGGAAATACATAAACCGAAGCAATGGGTTAAATTTCAAACCAGGATTAGCGTTAATTGTGCTTTGAACACCCAGCCCCCTTAACTATCCAAAGCAATTAAAAACTTATCCTACCTCAATGTCGTTCTTTAACTGATAGAATATTCCTGCAAATGCCAAACGAACTGAACGCGTCTCGAAGAAGTTGTGGCGATATTTAAACAAAACTTCAGTATTTCAAACGTTGATGTTGACACCCATGTAAAGATGGATCCCATGCCAGGTGGTAAGTGAAATTTAATATTGTTAGAAATTTGCCAGTATTGTTTTGACAAAACACTTATTGTACTCGATAACCGAATTCGACGATTCCACGCATTCGCATGCAGGTGCAAAAGTCTGGGTTTCGAAATTTAAGAAATTTAAGGATACGAGATTCCTGTCAGGAACCTGTAGTTGAATTTTCACAGCTGTTCCTGGTTTATAGCTCTAGTGAATTTATATAAATTTCCACTCGATAAGTTCCATCTACAAAGACCCTTCAACTATTTTTGAATCGAATCAGAGGCCAGCTAGCTAAAATTTATAAATACGCTCTTAGCACTCTTCATAGAAATTGACATCTTTACATCTTTATTTATTCAAAACACGAGGTCCATTTCACAAGTCAATTGAAAATACGTGTTCTTCAGTGGAGACGTGTATAGCTACCTATGCTAGTAAACTAATATCTAATGAATAAATATCAAAATATTTATAAAGGTTACCGACTGACTACGTTTAGTGCAAATGATATAACACATTTATTAAGAAATTTTAGATTTACTCAGCGAGAGATTGATTAACATGCATTTGTCTACCAATAAACCATGACACTAAATTTTCATAGCTTATGCAACTAAATTTCACACGTGTTATATATATATATCACTATACGAGCTAGCTCAGTTAAACTGACATGATGCGTAGAATATGTACGTGCTGAAGTGTTCTGAACATTAATGAGGAAAACTACTGAACTATTTCTGGATATAGTCAGCAAATTTGTTCGGGTAGAATTTCGAGATTAAGAGAAGGTTAAATGCCACAGAAAAAATATTAGGTGACTCGAGGATAATTGAAAATACACAACAGGCAACACAATATGCTGCTGAGACCTTCGACTTCGTCTAGGAAAACATTGAGACTCTGAGGAAAACAAAACTAAGTATTTTCTTTGCGTGCAGACATTAATTAAGTATATAATAAAGATGCGCTTATATGAACTTAAGACTTGGTAAGAGAAAAGTCTATATTTCTTTGAAATTCCGTTTTTTGACTCACGGATGTTGCCAGCGAAGCAACATCTATGAGTCTTTGCACAGGGAGCCCATCCCGGATCTTATTGAAGTTATGTATTAGAATTACGTATGAAATATATAGCTCAGTGTTGAAGCCTGTGATTGCGGGCTGTGTGCGGGCTAACGCGCGCGTTGAATATATCTTGTCTTTATTGTGTATTCAACGCACGCGTTAGCCCGCACACAGCCCGCAAATCGCAGGCTTCAACACTGAGCGATATATTTCATACGTAATTCTAATACATAACTTCAATAAGACCAGGGATGGGCTCCTGTGGTCTTTGTGTTTACTAGAGTGTGGGGTGACTGTGGGGCAGTTCAATCTCGTTCCCAGAGTATGCCTGTTCGCGGGTTATGTAGTACATAACCCGTGAACAGGCATACTCTGGGAACGGGATTGGGGGCAGTTAAACAATGGGAAATGACCAGCCTGCTTGGCGCGCACTGTTTGCCTGCGAATCGGGCCTTTCAGAAACGGAAATCGAGCTGGAGCACGCGTTCACTCTTTTGATTTGGCAAAAGAAGCATGACAAATGGCAAAATTCGCACGGTGCTCGTTTGCAAAAACAACTGCAAACTGCTCTAAATTTTTCTGTCACTTTCATTTCATCTCATCCGTGAATCGGCTTTTGATTATATTTCTTTGAATATTTCTTTGAAAATTGTATAAAATTCCGTTTTTTATATTTCTTTAAACGAGTTAGCGATTTGTTACATTTATTCGGCAAGAAATTAGGTTTTTGGATATGGACCGAATTATCGAATTGAATTATCTGAATTAAAACCGGACGTGAATTTAAATATAAAACTTAATTTGAAACAGTTTTTCTGGTCGGTTAGGACCAGTTTCAATCGTTGAGGTAGTCATTTGAAATCTTCCCCAGAACAGAGGAAATGCCATTTCATAAGCCGTGTTTACCCAGTGAGCCTAAGCCTGGCCAAGGCCTAGCTTTGGACTAGATTTTTGTAGTGTAAACGCACTTCGGTCTGGCCTAGGTTAGGAAACCTGGAACACCTGTTCTGATGGCCAAGATTTCCTGACCTAGTCCAGGCCGAAGTGTGTTTACACCACAAAAATCTAGTCCAAAGCTAGGCCAGGCTTAGGCTCGTAGTGTAAACACGGTTATAGACCATAAATATCTTATATACACTAGATAGTGCATCTAATTATTCTGCAATTCAAAAATTGAAGCCGTGATTGCAGTCTCAGGTCGTTCCTATGAAATGAGAGAAGATTAGTATATTTCCTATTTCTTGAACAGGGAACTTAAATATTAAGTTAACCCTATTCCAAATACATTTTTAAAGTATTCAAGTAATGAAAGTTATTGTTGTTTTTAAGTGTTTATTAGCAAGTGGGAAACTTCAACATGGCCGCCATGTTTTCAAATGGGGGTAACCGCTGGAATATTTTTGGCTTCAGTTTTACTAAAAGAGATGCGCTATCTAGTGTATTTAAGATATCTATGCTATAGACTCTGTTTGTAGTTAAAAACTGGCAAGTGTAGTCGATAGGCCGAATGACTACAATCCTTACTCCAGAATCATATAGAGCTCACCTTGGCACACACGTGGTTTTGCATCCGTATGACGTCATCAAAACAAAAACAACACGCTCGCCACGATGACATACTGTGATACGCTGTTTCCAAATTAGGATTAAAACCATTGTTAATAGTATTGTCGTTGTTCGAAACAGCGTGACGCAAGCGAGGGCAGGTTCTACACTCACGCTATTCCCTTGGGAGCTTTGCTAATTGCAACATTGTTGCAATATGTTATAAGGACGACCACTGAGATACAAGCATATTTCCCGGTTCGTCTGAAAGAAAATGCATATGAATATTCTAATCGGCCCATTGCACTGACGTCACAAATCTTTAGAGTGTCCTCCAGATGCTCCCTAACAATATCTGTTCGGGTACAACAACACAACATAACGCAAAAATTGTCCATTTTAATACAAAATTATTATAAAGTTTTACAAAATTTGCTTTGTTTACAAAAGTTATATTATGGATAGATTGCTAATTTGTCCTCCAGATGCATCATCACCGGCGCTGTGCAATGGGTTTTTACCCTGATTTTCCAAATCCTTACTATGGAAATAGTATCGATATACTGTGGATTCAGTGATGCAATATGAGTTTCACTATTTTTGTTTAGTGATTTCAATCGACAAATCTGAGTGTAAAGGTTTTTGTAGACGACAATTCCGAGCGAAATGAACCTTAGTGGACCTTCCGGGAGAACAAAGTTCGGAAATAATTGAGCTGTCCAATGGAAATAAACTTAGTTTTGTTTCGGATTGTTCTTACTGGAAGAACAGTTTAAAATTTATAAAGCTTTCTAGTATAAATAGAGTTAGTTTTGATTTTCTCCCGTAGTAACACTGAATCAATAAGAGATGATCCTTACTGGACCTCTAGGAAGAACAGTTTAGAACTGATAGAACTATCCAGTATAAATACAGTTAGTTTAGTTTAGGTTTCCTCCTGTAGTAACACTGGATCAATAAGAGATGATCTTTACTGGACCTCTAGGAAGAACAGTTTAGAACTGATAGAACTATCCAGTATAAATAAAGTTAGTTTAGTTTAGGTTTCCTCCTGTAGTAACACTGGATCAATAAGAGATGATCTTTACTGGACCTCTAGGAAGAACAGTTTAGAACTGATAGAACTATCCAGTATAAATAAAGTTAGTTTAGTTTAGGTTTCCTCCTGTAGTAACACTGGATCAATAAGAGATAATCCTTACTAAACCTCTAGGAAGAACAGTTTAGAACTGATAGAACTATCCAGTATAAATAAAGTTAGTTTAGTTTAGGTTTCCTCCTGTAGTAGCAATGGATAAATAAGAGATGATCCTTACTGGACTTTCAGGAAGAACGGTTTAGAACTGATAAAGATTTCCAATATAAATAAAGTTAGTTTAGTTTAGATTTCCTCCTGTAGTAACACTGAGTCAATAAGAGATGATCCTTACTGGAACTCCGGGAAGAACAGTTAAGAAGTGATAGAGCTATCCAGTATAAATAAGGTTTAGTTTAAAAATTTTTATTGTTTAGTTGTATTTCTAAATTTTCCTTGGATCTGCATAAGGTATTGAATATCAAACTATGCACGCGCCATCCTTAGTTTTAATTGTCCTAAAGGTGTAAATTAACTACTGCATATTTAAGCGATTTTAATTTATCGAAACCGCGGTATGCCTTCTAGACCAATCAGAGATAAGCCAGAACAACAGACGCGCGTTACGTCAGTAGTACAGCCATCGTATATAATTTGGTCCAGTTATTCTGACAGACTGACAACAAAGTAAAAATGCCTGAAAGCGTTGAAGCGAATCGCGAGAATACTCTTTCTGATTCCGTGGAATTCGACAGAAAACCTATGGATATTTTAGTGGACGCGCCGAAGAAAGATCTTGCGTCTAATCCACCTGTACTATTACCCGCGACTCGACGGAGGCGATCCAGTTCGGCGCGAAGTACGATTAAAACGAAAGAACCAGAGGTTGTCGCGCGGAGAAACGCACGAGAAAGAAGAAGAGTGAAATTAGTCAACGATGGCTTTCTTCGCTTGCGCAAACACGTCCCGACAGACCCGAAGAATAAGAAACTGAGCAAAGTAAAAACATTGAGGAGTGCTATCGATTATATTCGGCACCTGCAGCAATTATTAAATCAAGCAAGTAAGAATTCAAGTATACAGTTGGCGGATTTTGCTAAACTGGATGTTCTTCAGGGCGCTAATGGACCGAACTCGTGGTTTTCCAACTTGGATTTGGTAAGAGACTTATTTTTATTGATTATTTTAATACACGATGAAAGTTATTATCGTTTAATATTCTATCTTCAGTATACGCCGGGTTTTGTCTGCAACTATTTTAAGATTTCTTGTAGAACTGTATAATGTTTCTCACTTTAGCAAGCTTCCAATTTTAAGCTGAGCAAGTTGGGGAGTATTTTGTGATACAATGGAAGCATTTTATCGCAAATTCACACAAATAAACTTATATGCATACAGGAATATTTTGCGATTTATGTTTGAATCTCCCATATAATATAATCTATTTTGGCTCTTTTGCACTTTAAATATATTTCATGCTTATTATTTTTGTCATTTTAAAGCTAAAATTTCCAGCGAGTAAACGTATACTTCGGCTTAATCTTGCTTCGTATAATTTTATATTACTATTACTATATTAGTTCCGTTCGCTGTATGATAATTGTCTATATATTTTGCTTCAAAAGATTGTGTCATATTAAACTGTAGTTCTCCGAGAAAACGTTTGCTCATCACAGAATTTATTCCAGTAAAGTTTTCCAGTTGTTAAGAGATGAATTTAAAGAAGTATATTTAAGTCTATAAAGAACAAAAATTTTACGGGTTATTATTATTTAAAACATTGTACAACAATGTCATAAGGTCCTTAAATACTTTGTACTTAAGATTATTTAAAACTGACCTGACAGACGTTCTTAAAAATAATTTTTAGTTTTGAAATTTGCAGTTGTATAGATCGTTTCTTAGATGTTTTGAAGCGGAAAGTCGTTCTTGCTTAAATTTTCAGAGTTTAATCTAACTGTCATGCATAGCTGTCAGTGCAAGAAAGACTTTTTAAAATCATATATCACTGTCAAATATATACTTGAAAACATTTTTAACTTGTATAATACTCAAGAATTTAATTCTAGATTGTAGTGCGTGTAATTCACTGTTTTTAACCGCAAAGCTACGGAGTTTTTTGGTTTTATTTTCGCCAAAATTAAGTGCTGGCAATGTGTTCAACAAAGTCAAAGTAAAGCATTAATAATAAATGACCTTACAATGCTTGCTTTTACGTATATTTATAGTTAAAATATAGACTTTACTTTGTATAAACAGAGCCGAATTTTGTAACTTTACCAAAAATTGCAACTTTTATAAAACATCTAAAATTTCGGAACAATTTTGAAGAGAACGTTTAAATCCTTTTTGTTTAATACTGCATGACTAATATATTCATATCTCCGCTTTTAGCATAAATTACAGTGGCATTAATAATGCCCCTCTCTCGAGTGACTACAGTCTAGTTATTTAAAAGTTTATATTCGTTAAAATGTCTTGAACTTAGGTTGGGATTCCTGAATTTTAAGCGATTTCCTAGATTTGCAAAACGCTTCTTTTGCAACGCAAAAATGCTACAAAAATTAGTTGTATATTTCTATTGAGACAAAGCATAGTTTAGCGCGTGGCTTATTCAAGCAAATAATGCATAATGCCTTTCTTAATGAATACACAATCTAAATTATCATTCGTCCATCTTTGGTATATCCAATAAACTAATGTCAAACGCCGAAAAAAAAATTATTTAATCTTAAGTATATATGTATGTGTGAAAAACTTAGAATACCTCGACGCGTTCCGTATAATAAATTTGTAAGTTTACAATATATTCGTTCGAGTTAATCGCTCGACATCGTGAGAAATTCTATTTTTCCCCGTGCTGTGGCCATTGAATAGCGTCTGAATATATATTAGCAAAACATCTGTCATTCGCACATAGCCTTAAAAGTGGATATAGAATTAAGTATTTTGACTTTGAATTCAATGACAATGTCAATGAACTCATGGGCTTCGTTTTAGCTTGAGCTAAATGCCGTTCATATGCCGTTCATGGCTATACATTTCACACCAGAACAATTTCAATTTGACGTGCAATTTTTCATATATATATATATATATATATATATATATATATATATATATATATATATATATATATATATATATATATATATATATATATTTTTTCGTTTGACCTCAAGAAACCACAACGGTCTGTTTCATCCGTATAGGAATCATCAGGTAGTGAATAATACAATTTCGAAATGATTCCTATACGGATGAAACAGACTGTTGTGGTTTTTTGAGTTCAAAAACAAAAAACTATATTACGCTCTATCTATATGGTATTGAGCACTGTTTGTGTTTGGTAAACCAAAATCTTAAGATATATATATATATATATATATATATATATATATATATATATATATTTTATATTTTTTTTTTTT